TATTTGTCAACTGAACAACCCTCGAAGTAGCTGATAAATAATGCGACAGAATACTGAACGGTCCAAATTATTAATTTCCGAAATGTGGTTCAAATTCGAAAGTTCTTCCGAGGGGCTCCGTCTATCCATAATTTACGGCACTTACGTCTGAAAAAGAGTTCCTTGTGTCCTTGGAGCTTCGGTTTCACTTCAAGAGCGCGGAGCGTCCGACTTGCAATGTCGCCGTAGTCACGATTCAAAAGAAAAGGATGTACTTGGGGTCTCCGTCTTTGCTCCTAACGTCACGCAAATTTACGAAAGAGAATTTATTCCTCCGGCCAATTCTCTCGTAACTTTGAATGTTGTTTGCGTTCCTCAAAGGATCCGTCCTATCCTAGATCCTATTTGCATCCAATTAGTGTCCTGGGCGTCTTCAACTTATTTAAATTACTTTCTTCCTCCATTTTGTTTTCTGGGTTGCGATCGAGAATCCGCCGTAGTCAGGCAAAGGAAATAACGAGTACCCATAAAATGAACGCACTTCGTGGCACGAAAAGAAAAGATGCTGACGATTTGGGGTTTTCGCGGCGGTGAGTCTGGTAGAAGTTCTATCCACTCATCGCCCCGATGATGAAGGAAGGAAGGACGTCTGAAACGTCGGCAAACTTCTTCCGGACTACACGGCGCAACAACCGTCTTCTCGCTGGTGCGTGCAGAAGCCGAAACGTCCTAGGACGTTATTCGTCTTTGTTGATCGTCGTTGGAGAGAAACGGCGACCTGTGGCAAACGCGGTTGGGTACCCGTGAAGGGCGTTCCACACCACGTACGGGCTCTGCCCCTGCTGCTGCAGAGGACGGCCTGCCGCTGATCGAGCCGAGTCCAGGCGGGATCTTCTTTCCGGTAGTCACAACATCAGCACGCATTCACTCCGGGAAACATTTTGCGATTTACGTTTTCGCGGGATTAACTGGCAGTCTTCTCATGGGGCCTCACCAGCTGCCCGTTCAGTGCGATGTCGGCTGGTGATTCCGGTGCATCTAAAAGAAAGGGGAAAGCTGAGTTACAGCGACAGAACCTACAACTGAATGAGTCCCTTGTAAAATTTTCTAAAATAAATGATGCAAGTGCATGGAATAAAGAACAAGTTGAAAATGAAAGTGGATCGCCGTTGAAGAAGACGTACATCGGTCGGAAGAGTCAGTTCTAGAGACAAAGTTAAATGGGGCCTCACCAGCTGCCCGTTCAGTGCGATGTCGGCTGGTGATTCCGGTGCATCTAAAAGAAAGGGGAAAGCTGAGTTACAGCGACAGAACCTACAACTGAATGAGTCCCTTGTAAAATTTTCTAAAATAAATGATGCAAGTGCATGGAATAAAGAACAAGTTGAAAATGAAAGTGGATCGCCGTTGAAGAAGACGTACATCGGTCGGAAGAGTCAGTTCTAGAGACAAAGTTAAAAAGACATTTGCCCACGTTATTGCGGTGAATATGAAGGGGCTCTGCCCCCAGTGCCTGTAACGTCCTCTAGGAAGAGGTTAGCAACTGCTGCCGGATGCCCAGAGCGGTCAGTGCTTCGCCGTGGTTGTCAGCAGCGCAGACATGGACCGGAAACATTTTTAGATAAATTCTGGAGCTCGGAAGAATTAAATCTAGAGCCAGGGATATTCACGATGGGTCTCGAGCCCAGGACAGTTTTTCGGGGTTGTGGCCTTTGTTCGTTTAATTTCCTCTTCGAATCAACTTTTCTTCTGTCTTGTTTATTTTCCGAGCTGCAGGAACTGCCCTCACCGGAACTCGGAGTTTTGACTTTTCTGTATTCTTTTCCTGGTCACAATTGTGGTTTAAACCGGTTTTTCCCTTTCATAACGAACGAACAGTTTTAAGTAAGACTTGAGGTTCTCACAGCGGTGAATATGAAGATTTCTGTCTTCAGACTACACAGCGCAATAACCCAGAAGACAGAAATCCGAACAGTTTTAACTTTATAGCCTGTGATCCGTGGATTCTACGGAGCAGGTTGTCTGCGCAACCGATTCACCTGTGTACTATGGAACTCACCTGCTTCTATGATTTTCGATCCGTGATAAATAATCTTTGATAACAAGTGTGGTGGGAAGTGGGAAAAGTTGTCTTGGATTAGTTGGTATCAAAATGTCTGGTTTGCATAATAAAGTCGTATTAATAACAGGTATGTGTTAATTACGATAAATTTTTACTGTTAAACGAAGTTAGTTTTTTAATAACATTGTTATAAGGAGTTTTCTGCTGGTGATTGTTTCTGACCGAGTTCTGTACAAATAGGGAGTTGGTTATAAACGTTATAGCCTACAACAGTACTAATTGAAATTGGATGATTTGATACAGTTCTTACTGGTTGAGAAAACTAATCTCACTTGTAGAACTTTCTTTCATTCGCACAAGTTTAATCTTATTTCTGATGCTGGTAGCTGTTTATGTCCGTTGCTCGTCTCGTCATGTTGGAGTCACAGTCATGCGATTGTCATTGAATGTAGGTGCAAGCTCGGGGATAGGTGCAGGTACAGCTGTCCATTTTGCGTCACTTGGGTGCCGTCTTGCCTTATGTGGCCGAAATAGTGAAAACTTGCAGAATGTAGTGAAGCAATGTATCGACGCTGGATTGCCAGAAGAAAAGGTATCTGCCCACTGATACTTTATTAATGCATGTTTTGGTCATTTAGAAAACCATTCATAGGTTTTTTAATGTACATTGGTATTCCATGTTTTATATATTTTCTCACATATTTTTTGTGTTAGGTTTTCAGTGTGCTAGGAGATGTGTGTATCGTAAAAGACTGTGAACGTGCAGTGAAAGACGTTATTGATCATTATGGTCAGCTTGATGTTCTGGTAAGTTTATTTAGACGTTACTTTACTGTTTTATTGTTGCAGATCTGTAATCATCTTGTAGTGCAACTGCTTTCTTTTCCCTAGCATATCTTCCATGTTTTAGTACAGGTTAAGCTCCCACTGAACTTCAGAATATTATTTGGTTTTGTTTGTTGATATGGTGGGGTTTATTTGTCTTCAGTCCAAGAAGAGATAGACGATTGGTTTTATTAACACAGTATTTGCTTTTAATAACACTGCACTCACATCCAGTTTCTATTTGCAATTTTCACCATGTGGAGACCCATTCTAATATGTTATTTTGTTAGTGTGAAGTGTGTGTTTTTCTTTTGTATGCTGTCCTTTTATATTAAAATGCTTGTTCTTAAGTGTCACCTGCAGTTGTTTATATATATATATAGTTAGTTAGTTAGTTATTCAGCTGTCCATGTGTATGCCTCTGTCTCTCAGTGTCTCCACTAATTTCTTAAGTTGAATGTTCGAACACTGGTATATGTTTCTTGGCGAAAATTCTCTTCCAGAATCCACTTGTCTAGCCAAAAGTTATCTTCTTTGATGAATGTTCTGCTGTAAACATTCTAAAACTTTTGAAGATCGGTTGCTATGTTGACTGTTCTGAGGAATAAATTTGTAATGTATAGTTCCTTTGATATCACAAAAGCAGATCATCTTGGGTATGACATATGTGCTTATTTTAGCCTTAGAGATGTCTTGTGTTTTGTCTCTTGATGACTGTATGATACCATTGCTGCCCAGCAAATTTGTCAGACGTCGTACACATATAGGATTGTTGATGCTTTACAGGTTAATTCAGCTGGGATCCAAATTCCTGGAAGTATTGAAACAACTAAACTTGAAGATTTTGATAAACAGATGAACACTAACATGCGATCAGTGTTTGTCTTGACACAGCTTGCTGTTCCTCACCTTATCAAGACTAAAGGAAACATTGTGAATGTATCGAGTGTTGCAGGATTGCGCTCAGTGAGTCAGTTTTGCTCAAGCTATTCACTTTCACAGAATTTAAGATTTTCAAAGAACTAGTGTGAAGACATGATTCACAGTTTCTGTTTATTGTACCTGAGACCTGTTTATCCTTTTGCTATGTCACTTAATTGTAGCATATCATGATGTTAAGCACTCTGAACTTAAATTGCATATAAATTACAATGTCAATTCCTCAATTCAGTCCGACATACTCTGTACGTGCTATGTGCCGATCACAAGTCGCTATCCAGCGCCCTCACCGCATCTATTTTTTAAGACACTTCTCAAATATTTGTTATGCTGTGAAATATGAAAATTTGTATTTTCTCTTCCATTCTTTATAACTGATGTGTAATATCCCACCTTTCTCTTGCAGATAACATTTGTGTCTTTCCACCAAGTGCCTTACTACACAACTAATTGGTGCATCTGTGTCATAGAGACTTTTGCAGCTTAGTGGAATCAAAGTATATACGACTCTGATCAGTCCTTGTATTTGTTATGATAAGTGATGAGGACGGATTTTATAATCAAACATACCTGGTATTACTTTAAAACGTTGAGTGGTCATGTTTGTCGTTTATTGTTTTTCATTCAGTTCCCCGGTGTTCTTGCTTACAATATGAGTAAGGCTTCTGTGGATCAGTTGACTCGTACTGTTGCGTTGGAATTGGCAGACAGGAATGTGCGGGCTAATGCTGTTAATCCTGGTGTCATTGTTACTGAGATTCACAAACGAGGAGGAATGAGTGAAGAGGATTATCAACAGGTGAGCTGAGGGATACAGTTTGTTCTGTTGCTTAGAAATTTTAGTTGGCTGTTACATCTCCCTGAGGCTGCTGTTGTTGCTACTATCATCATCATCATTGTACTCCATCTTAAAGGAAATAATTTGCATATCTGATCGCTGTGCTGATTGTGTATGTGTGTCTCCTCATTCAACTTTTGAAACAGCTGACCAATTTTCACAAAATTTGGTGTCAACAGTATTCCATTGGAGGCCAACCCAACCTTTTATTTTAATTTCCCACAACCGCAAATAATGACATGATAGATGCACAGATGTTTAAGGTGGGAACGACACTTGACGGCACATAAGGCAAGAGTCCTGAAATGTTGTGTGGTGATGGGTCTAAGTTTTTTCTTTTTGTGGCATAATTCAAGATGATAATACGAATATGTTTACATACTCTTGAGTTTGATAGCGGTGTGTGACGAACCATTGGACAAACTAGAATATGGCGCCTGAAGATAGGTACAGTTTTGAAGTCATAGCAGTTAATGTGAAATGATGCTTATATGTTATAATACTTTGAGGTTGTATCCAATAAATTTAATGTGGGCAGAATCTATTTTAAAGAGTTTTTTCTCAAAATAAAATTATGATAACTGGCTTTCATATATTAATATTAATTATAACAACAGCAATAATAACCTATAACTCATTTACAGTTGTAAATTACAAAAGAATTCTGATTTGAATAGGGCCCAGTCCTGTAACCATTTAGACGTGAGCCCAGCAAGCTAACATACAAGCTAAATTACATTTTATCATTAGATTATAAACTTAGATTACCTAAGTATAAAATTATCTGCGCAAGATTTTTTAGAATGGGAAATAGACTTTCTAAGTACCTGGAACTGCTCATTCCCACTGTGTTGTGGCTTTTGATTGTCAACTTGTTTTAACAGCTGTAGCCAATTGTACAAATTTTTGTGCTGGATGCCACTTGGTGTTTTAATTGCAATCGCCATAGCTTTAAATACTTAAAGAGAGACATAACCTATTTTGTTCTTGGCGAGCTCGAAGAAACCCGCCCACTGGGTGCTTTCTCAGACTTCAGTGCAGTTTGCTTGTTGTTTAGATGTCAGAAGTTGAGGAATCAATCTCTCACAGAGATCAAAAATGATCCTTTATGATAGTGTTTAGTGCTTTAACATCTGCCTTGACAGATGTTTTACTTTGGAGGCGAGAAAGGCGTAGCTTGTGATCAAGGTCACAGCACAGGCAGAACTAAACATAAGTGACCTATATATAACTGCAGACTCCAACTTGCACCTGTCACTGCTACCAACCACCACAAATTAAAGTTCCAAGCATTTTACAAAAAATCATTCTCAGTCTTTATTGAACAGCCCTTGTGCCATGAAAATACGTACAGTTAGGGTTATAATAATTCTGATTAAAAATATATGAATATTTAATAACGAACTTGTTCTTCTTTCAGTTTCTGGAGAGATGCAAAATTACTCATGCATTGGGTCGTGCTGGAACTGTGGATGAGGTTGCTAAGAGCATTGCTTTTCTAGCATCAGATGATGCATCTTTTATTACCGGTGTTACTCTGTCAATTGACGGAGGACGCGGTGTTATGTGTCCTCGTTAATGGAAGCTTAAATCTGTAGAATAAAAAAGAGTGTTTGTACTGTCATCAAGAGCTTTCAGTATAAAATCGCAGAGCTTGTTACGAATTTGACTTGACACATACGATTCACCCCTGCTTGGGTGACTCCAGTGAGTGACTGTCAACTGCTTCATTGAGGAAGGTAGTTCTCGCAAGAGGTAATAATGTAATTTCAGTTATAAAAATCAGCCGGTATTACACTGAATAGTATTTACTAATTGTAAATTTAGCCATATTAGTATTATTTTTATAATCTCTTAGAAGAGTAATATAGTATTATTATCCCATTCATATTTTGGAACCTGTGGTGTCTGATATTTCAAGCTGTGCCCATACTGTTCAGAATTTTATGCATAAATATAATTTCCAAACTAGACATTTTTGTAGCTATGTATTATGTACTCTTTGTTTTGTCTGCTTACGTGGGTTAAATTATACTTGCCTGCATATTGAACATGTGACATTAATGCTTATAGATCAAATTCTTTGTTAACAAGAGCACAAGTAATATTGGTTCTTGGTGCTAAACCTTACGGAGAAAGAATATGAATGTGAAATATAAGGTTCTCATGGCTATGAAGATGACAGTTTTACACTTTTGGGTTACGATACTGTGTGGACTCATAGGTAGATACCAGTGTTTCAGAGGAACATGCTCCTCCATCTTCAGGGCTGAACTGTGGGTGTTAGGAAGTTGATAGTTTGTGCAGGGTCAGAGGAAGGGCTAGGCTTAGGGGCAATTAGCCATAGTTGAGGAATGAGAAGGATGTGGACTGGCTTACCCTGGTTCACAGGGTCAAGGTTTTCTGCAGTCCTGACAGTCTTGAAGAAGAATAGGAATTCCTTCTCATCTTCCTGGGCATTGGCTACAGAAAAGAGTAGATTCACCAGACCATCCACCCAAGAGAGTCCCACCACCATTATCAGAGGAATTATTACCCTTTGTTGGCTTTCCTTTTAGTTGAATCAGTAGGGTGTTGTCCAAACACAGCATCAAGACTGTGGACCTCTCACCAAGGGCACGCTCTAGCTTCTTTGGCTGATCAAGGCTGACTTAGCTTTAAAGGTGGTCTGGAAAAATGTAGGCCCACACTGGACATTCAGTTGAAATGAGGGTCAGAGAACGCCTCTGGCACATCCATCTCTATAATTCTGATGTCTGCTGTGGATGAACACAGGATGCATCTGGACCATCACATCCATCTTCATAACATCAGTACGGCAGTGAGAAAATCCAGACACGTCTTGAATGGCTTCTTCCTGAGCAGGTCACTGAAGCTGCTCATTGACATCCTGAAGGAACATAAGCGGGCTCTCATCAAGGACATGGCTCGCACTCCATTCTATCCCTACTCTTCCTGTGGTCCTTGTGAGGACCTTCCTGGATGATTGTCCATCTGAGTCTTGTTTATAATCTGCCCTTATTAGGATTTGCTGTTCTCTGTTGTCCCTCCATACTTACCATTGTATGCTCTCCTCCTCCCACTTATGGTCCTGCCTTGCCCAGATTTGGGTTCTTGAAGTGCCCTCTTTCTTGAACTCCATTCCCTGACCTGGCTCTGCATTTCAGCTTGCATCTACCCTCCAGTTTGGTCCATTAATGGTCCAAGTCTGGATTTCTCTCCTGTGACCCAATCTTCCTCTCTGTTTCCCTGCATGGAGACTCCACATTAGCTCAGACCATCTCCTTATCATTCCTTGACTGTGATTGGCTGATTGCCCCCTAGCCTAGCCCTATAAAGTATCCACTTCCCAACACTCCTGCTGCAGTCATGAAGATGGAGACAATATATTTCTCTGAAACACTGGTCTCTATCTACGAGTCCATGTGGTGTCACGACCTAGAAAAAAATTGCAGTATTTAGAATATAAATATCTTGTGCATTTTGCTACATTTGAAATGTAGGAATTTCAAAAGAGGTATTTTTCTAGCTACAGTCTGGTTTGAGAGTTTGAAGACACAGCAAACCAACAGAATTTTGGTTGGTGATCCATGCTGTGCTGTTGGCAAAGGAACGTCCTGAATAAAACAAAGTAAATGTTCGGCTTTTGAAAGATTGTTGTGATGCACTATAACCTGTATTTGTGTGGTTGTCGCCTTTGTTAACAGCTGTAGCGTGTGGACTTGTTAAATAAACACAGAATTTTAATTTTGTATTTGTTATGAAATGTTATTATTAGATAACATCTGTTGCTTTGAAGTCAGAAGTTTGTGTCTTGTGCCTACTGACTTTTGTTTGTCATAATGATCACTGGAAAATACACATTTTTAAAATGCGTGATACTGGTTTGTTAACAGATGGATGTTTCTCTTTTGGTAAGCAGATTTGATTCCACAACTAAGTAGTGAACTACAAAGTAAATGTATGGTATGTCATCAGTTTTTATGGCCAGAGTATGGAGTGTTCCCTGCATGCAAGATGTGTTGCAGTGATGAACTGAAAACACTTTATGGTACCATATGAAGCAATGAATCTGTTTCTGGGTTATTCTAGAATGTAATAAAGTTCTGTCATGTGATATGGGTTCAGACTCTTGCACAGTGCTTCTTTGTGGCTGTACGTTGAATTTGTGGCCGACAATTTTAACGTATTTTGACGATCTTTACATATTTTGGAGAAAAGGTGCCGGGAATGCATACTACCACAAAAATCACTGCTGATATGTATTCTGAACGTACTAGGAAAAATTACATGGAACTGGAGAAAATGAACAGAAAAATTATGTTCTTGTTATCATCCTTGGCAGGGCTTTGATGTCATCTGAGGTGAGTACGTTTTGCAAACTGGAGAATAGAAATGTGCAGTAGTCATTTAATCAATGGACTGTGCTTTAATTTTCCAATGAATTTTTGAATTGGCAGTATCTTTCCAGCTTTTTTTCTCTGATGTGAAGCGTAGAGTAGCCAGATGAAGGAAAATAAAATATCTAAAAGTGCATAGGCAGATTAGAGGTTCAGCAATTCTGAATGGTTTTTCATGGTATTCCCCATTCAGAAATTTACATATCAATGAGCTGCCTCTTGCTACTGTTTTACGGTACATGTTACAACAGTGTTGAGGAATATAATGAAACTTTGTTACGTAGAATTTGAAGTTCTCACAGTGGTGAGTATGAAGATAGCTGTCTTCTGAGTTGTAACTCCATAGTATGGCAGAAGTTTACCAATGTTTCAGTCCTTGTTGATCTGTCATCAGGATGATGACTCATTGCCCTGACTACACCTAGTCACCTACTGCCCACAGACCAGGAGAAAAGCCCTGTGGGGGGAAGTTGTTTCTGGGGTGGTGCAGGAGGAATGTTTACTATCAAGTGGACTAGAGGGCTGCTATTGGTGGAAGTGTGATATGTCAGAGTTTTACGCTACTACACAGACTGAAAACATCAAGCAGTTAAGAGTAGCGTGTAGTGAGTGCAGCTATACTGTGTTGCGATAATATTCTAGATTAAATCGCTGTGCCACTGTGAGGTAATCTTACAGCTGTACCCATTAGAACACATGAAAGACTGTTGTCTGTTGTTCGTTCAGTGGTTGTGGAACGAATGCTTTTAGGATGGGTCGTCACTCGCCGCAAAATCTTGCGCATGCGCGTATATCAAATTCCTAGTAGGGATTTTCTCCTGGTCTGTGGACTGTATATCTACTAGACTAGTTGGTACTACAACCCATCAGCTTTGTTGTTTTTCTTGTAAAGTCCACTTTTTCTGTGAATATGATAGAAATGTTATGTCCAGCACATTAAGCAGCACTGAATGTTTTTTCATTGTTCATTTGACCCTTTGGATGCTCACCAAAATAATTTTGAATGGTTCTCCCATAATCACCAAAATATTAAAAAAGTAACATTTTCGCGTTTTGCATAGTTTTTCAATTATGGAACTAGTGAAAAATTATGCAAATGATAATGCATAAAACACCATTGATGGATACTTTGCTGAGCAACTTCTGATAGCATGATCATGTAATTCAGCAGAAATCTCACCAAATGGTCCTCAAGACATTCAAAATAGCCAAAGGGTAGCCTGGTGGATGTAGTTGACTTTATTTTGCGTTAATTTCAGAGAGAATGCATATCCATACATATTGGGCAGGCAGGGGTACAAATGGGAAATGCGTGCTGGGAGCTCTATTGCCTGGAACATGGGATTCATCCTGACGGGCAGATGCCGTCAGATAAGACAATAGGATATGGAGACGATAGTTTCAACACATTCTTCAGTGAAACGGGGACAGGAAAGCATGTGCCTCGGGCTGTGTTTGTGGACCTTGAACCTACCGTGGTTGGTAAGTTAGTAATGTTCGACACATGTACATTCATTACCATTATGTGCATAGTTAAATTATGAGCAGATAAAATTCACGTCAGTTTCTTAATTTTAAATGTATTATCATGTGTTACAGATGAAGTACGAACGGGCACATACCGGCATTTATTCCACCCTGAGCAGCTTATTACGGGGAAGGAGGACGCTGCCAATAACTATGCTCGTGGACATTACACCATTGGTAAATATAAATGGACACTGATTTAAGATTTATCTTGTCGTCCGCTGGGTTAGGACGCCATATGACATCTTGTCTAAAAGTAAGGGTGTGTAAATTATGCAAGGCAATGTAGTATATTCTGCAATGGGTTAGCATGTTAAACAAGTCATTTAAAATATTTCTGAATTTTGTTACTATTAGCAATGTAAGGAGGAAAGTTGGACTTAAAGTGGATCCATGTTTGGTTGGCAGGGTTAAAATTATGTATGTTCTTAATATGAATTCTGTTAACTGAGAGTGCTGTTGATGTTAGGCCAAGGATGGCTGCGTAAGGCATTTGGTTTTCTTGCTTTGAGCTGATCACCATTGTCAGAGAATGTGAAATAGCGAACTGTAGGGTGGCTTAACTGGAGACCTCAGATCTCACATGTATTCACTGTTCAAAAGGTGTTCAACTTATATTATCTTTCCTACATCATTAAAATTTCCAGCTTTATTTTTAATTAATAAGCATGGATGGATTTGCAGTTTATTCCTCTTGCAGGAAAGGAGTGCATAGACCTGACACTTGACCGTATTCGTAAGATGTCTGACCAGTGCAATGGACTTCAAGGTTTTCTCATCTTTCATTCCTTTGGTGGTGGGACTGGTTCTGGGTTTGCATCACTCCTCATGGAAAGGCTGTCGGTGGATTTCCCCAAGAAAAGCAAACTCACCTTTTCCATCTACCCAGCCCCACAGGTAGAAGCCTAGCGGTGATGGGTGAGAGTTTCTAGCAGTTGGCAACCATGGAATGACCCTTTGATGACTGTAATATTTACGAAAGTTTGTTGCTCTTCAATATGGAATTATTTAAAAGAGGTGAGCAGGTAATTGCTGCCTGAAGTTCTGAAGAGCATTCTGATTTTGTTGGCTCAGTTCAGTTACTGTACCCTAAGTGTGAATAATCAGAATGTTTCTACTGCAAAATGTTTACAATATCAGTTTTAATACTGAGTTTGTCTGTTCATAATCAGCTGAATAAATCTTAATGTTTATGTTTCTGGAACTTCTAGACTGAATCCCCAGTAATTAAATCAAACATTGATTTAATGTGAGGAAATTAAAGTACCCTTTCAGATTACGTATACTGAATTATTTTGATCTTCATTTAAGTAAATTGGATCATATGCACAAACACCTTTTTTATGCTTTATATGTATTTGAAGCTGAAGAGATATGGTTGAAATTACTTTAATCGAGCTAATTTCCTTCAGTTAAGCAGATTCTTTAATTAATACATCAAAGAGTCAATTAATCCAAAGGTTTCCAGCTGCTGTGGTAGTGTATGATAGTGGGCACAGACACAACTCTGCTAGTCTACATGTTGCTCTCATAGGCATAAAACCACTGAACACTCCTTTTGTCACCTTTCATCTAATCGTCTTTCTGTCCGCTAATATTCCTTTATGTAAAATAAAGTTGCAAGATGAGCCAGGACATAAAGGTTAAGCTGTGCACATTCTTAACCTTGACATTAGGTGGAGATAAGCGGTCAACTTTATTTTCCTCGTGGGAAGAGTCCTCAGTACCCACTGCATGTGAGGCTGGGTGGGACACAGAATGGAAACTCGTGACTTCTCTTCTGTATTCACAATAGCTCTGAACCCATTACGCGTGTCCAGTGTATTCTGGGGGTAATATAGCCAAGGTATCATAAATTCAGTCATATACTTTCCTCCTAGTGACAGGGTCCTGTATGCTGCTAGCACACCATCATGTCCTTATGTTTCATGACGGAGAATACCGTTTGTGTTCAGGGTTGCTTGCCTGTGGAGTAGCATGTTGCGTAGTGACACAGTATAAGCATGGGAAATCCAGCCAGGACTGGAGGAGAGCATTTAGCAGTAGTTTTTCAGCTAAATAATGCAGTAGATTAGGAGAAAGATGAACCTTCAGAAGCAGATTGAGAGAGGAGAATGCATCTTTCTGTGTAGAATGTGATAGCTACTTGCACAGTACTGTCGGCTTCTGTCAGATTCTTACCGTCTTCCAACTCTTCATTTGCAAGAAGCATGTTAGTTTCGTACCTCTGTGTTAGACAAGCATGAATGCTTTGTGACAGAATCTCTTTGGTCTTTGCTAGGTAGAAATAAAGCAGTCACATTCAGATAGCTCTGACCTAGAAATGCCACTTATAATTGAAATTTTACATTTTTAACCAGAACATTTTACTTTGTCATGCTAATGCCGAACGTTTACAAAGTATCTGCATATTAAAGCTGGCAGTGTTTCTTTAAGTTTCAATTATTTTTAACCAGATTGTTAGGTAAGTTTAATTGTCTCTGTGAAACATATTTCTTTTGCCTCCATTGCTTCTCCCAAGTCAGGATAAATTGAAAATTTTAAGGAAAATTCTCTGTGGCAAAATGAATTTCAGCTCCTCATAATTGCCGTTTGTCAAATCGTCCTTTAGTACAAATACGTTATACTGATATACTTTTGATATGTGAAATTAAAGAAGTAGTAATTATTATATAGTTTTTTATTTGGCCACACACAATAAGGGGTGTGTAAATTAATTATGTAAGTTCATAAAATACAGAGGACAGAAGACTTCATAAGAATAAATATGGTATTTTTATCTGTTACAGAATTTCTAGCCTTTGCTGTCCATCATGAAACAGTAAAATTTAATGGAATATTGTCAATCTGTTTTAATTTAGTTAAAATTAGTTGGCAACTTGTAATGGGGCGCTGCTGAAGCAGTCTGTAATTCCTAGAAGAGAATTTTCCAGTAATTCAGGTTGACAACTAGGAACAAAAGGATAAAATGCAAATTTAATAATTTACTTTACCTAAACAGTACTCTGCTTAATACCGACATTTTGAGGATCACGACTGAATGTCTGGTAATGATGTAAACGAGTTCTTTGAGTGTAGTATCAGTGCCTGGTAGCTTCATTGTCTCGCGCTGTGTTGTGTCCAACAGCTCAGACTGACGCCAATCTCTTCCAGAACCTTGGCAGGGTAGACTTTTCCAAGGTGCGTATTGGTTAGACCCTAGATGTTCAGACCTGCCTTTTCTTTACCTAAACATGAATATAATGTTAAATATCTAGAAATTTTAATGATTCTTACCAAAATATTAGCATGTGAAATTTTATTTTAATCAGTGAATTTAATTTTCATGCAAAACATTGAAATGAAATATTGATATTGAGTTTGCAGGTTAGGTTATGAAATCAAAGAACTAATTTAAACGAAGATTTTATACTACATGCTTAACCAGGGGTACATTTCTGATATAATTGCAAATGGTGAAATTTGTTAATAAGATATCATTTTAATGAACTCTCTCTCATTATTTTTCTCTCTTCACAACTTTTTTTTACTTCTGCTTACTTTACTAACATCACTTATCTCTAGTTTGGGAAGCAAGGATCATGGAAAATGTAATAAATAGAAGCTGAACTTTATACAAGATTTTGGTGGTGCAGCAGTGTGTAGTGCGTGTGGGGTAAACAATGAGTAGCTGCGCAAAGCTTGTGAAGACGGACCACAAGAAATTTTCCTCAAAAATGTTACTAATATATTGTTGGAAACTTGACTGTAAATAACAAATTTATAAATATGGAGGGATGGCTGTATAGAATGATGGTATCGCTCAGATTCATATTGTGTCGTATAAAATCATAATTCTCCAGTTTCTGTGACTGTGCCTGTTATCTGTCAGAACAGTTTGCTGTTTCTGGCTGTGGGTGTGGTTGCAGGTGGATGGAGAGGTTGCTATCTTCCTTGGCCTACTTTTAATATATGAACCATACCAAACTGTGAGATCATTATTAATTGCCTTGCTCTCAGCATTTTAATTTGCCAGCCGTGCACACTTACTAACTTCTGAGTTTTGACAGTTCGCTTAAAATGTTATTAGATGACATACTCAACATAATTAATTATGTTGCTGTGTTAACATCAGAAGAAGGTTGTTTTGTTGAAAGAACTGAATAATTAAGCACTCTAAATAATTAATTATTGAGTAGAATTTCAGGTCCTCATGGTGGTGAGTATGAAGTTTGCTGCCTTCTGGGTTGTAAAGTCTCCATATATTTGTAACCTGGAAGTGTACTACAGCCTCAAGTACTATTGCACTCTTCTTGTATAACATTTCACATATTTCATTTGTACTCGTTATTACCAGGCACTCTCATTTCTTATCCCTGTCCCTGCATCTTGACAGCTCGTTTTTCTCTTTGCTTGGATCATTCGTATTGACAAGACTCGTTGGCCACGCTGTCTGTCGACAGTTGTTGTTGCAGTAGAGCATGAGTAGGAATTAACAGTTGCAACTTCACTGTTAGTGAAAGTGTATGTCACTAGTCTGTGTGTTAGCAAGTAGTGAATCATCTTATTGTGAGTATAAAGACAACCTCTACAATCTCTCATTCCACACATTCAAGACAAATGTTCTTGTATTTAAAATATCTGTCCTGAAATGTGGTCAATTAAGTTGCATTAAATTATTATCGTAAACATATTTTGAGATGTGAAATGCATTTATGAGTAACGTCATTAACTACATATAGTTTTATGTTGATCTTACGTACGTTCATTTCACGTTCAACAATGTTGACTCCATGTTGCAGTTTCAAATCAAAATGACATTGGATTGGATTTTCTTAGTTGTAGTCTTTCCAGTCTTTTCGTTTTATCTGGATACGTTGTTGAAAGAACTGAAAATGATTAAAGATTTTCTAAAATTTTGTTCATTATAATGGCGATGTATACTGTTTGTAAAGACAAAAAGTAAGAGTAGGAAAGATTTGTTGTAGACCAGTTTTTAATAAGTTATCAGTATTTCATGTGTAGTCATAAGAAAATATAAACACTTTTTACTGCTAAAATTAAGTTTTAACGTCTTTAATCTTCATAAACAGTCCCTGCATTATATGGTATACTAAAAGTCATGGACAGTTATTGTCCATGGCTGCTGATGCCCAATGAGAACAAATTGTGTATTGAAGTAGATGAGAATATGCTGACAAAGATAGAGTGCTTAGATAGTCTAGAAATTACCAACATTTTATGGAGCCTGGGCCATCTCCTGGACAGATGAGTCCATTTCATGTCCCCAAACCCTTTTGATCCACTTTGATATTATCCTCTTATCCAGTGCCTAGTCTTGTGAGTGGTTTCCCCCAATCAGGCTTTTCATCCAAAATTTTGTACATATTTCTTGTCTCCCCATGTGAACTACATGCCCTGCCCATCTCATTCTCCATGATTTCTTCACCAAAATAATACCTGATGATCCCAGACAATTTTACGTGTGTGTCGAGTTAATATTGACAGAAGGATGCTGGGTAAGATGTGCACACAGCTAACAGTGATATTTCTGCATAATTATTACAGTCAGTTTCATCACCGTCCCTGTGAATAGATGCAGTACTTTCCTACCGCTGCCTGGGAATTCTTCCTTGTTGAAAACAGCGGTAGAATACTTATCTTATTAAACTCTGCAATTTCTCTGTGAGATATTCTTCAGCATAATGCAAGTGAAAAGAATACAGGTGGGGCTCAAAGATGCGACATATTTCTCACAGTAGCCTATGGAAAACTGTCACATCTTTACACGTCACTCTGTATAAGTCTCAGTGTCATGTCTGTGCTGTTTACTATCTTTGCAGTGATAGGTTTTGTATCTACAATTATGCAACTGGAAAATGTGTACTCCTTAGAAACTGTCACTAAATTCATATGTTTCTTAATATATCATTTGACTTTTCAGTTTAAAATTTGTTTGTGAAAGCAGACACAAAGGTCAAAGTATCTTTTGTATACCATTATTTTGGGCATTTAGTTTGGCTGTGCTAAGTTGCCACAGTGAAGTGGGGGCAATGACAACATGTATAAGAACTCCCCCATTTTTCTTGTGGTCCATTAGATGTGGAACTGTTTGTTATCAGACCACTTTTTAATATCTAGAAAGCTAGAATTTCACAATTTAAGCACGTGTGCATGTTTGTGTATATTAATGTAAATATGCTGTACAGATGACATGGAAGTCCACACAAGCATCTTCTACCTCAGCTTATAGGACGAGAGGCTGCTATCAGCGTGCAAGGTAATGTGTCACTGTTATGCAAAAGTGTGATATGTGTCATTAACGAAACATGACTTTGGATGTACTGTAGGTTTCAACTGCAGTTGTTGAACCTTACAATGCTATACTGTATACACATCCAACCTTGGAGCACTGTGAAGTTGCCTTCATTGTGGATAATCAAGCCATATATGAAATCTGCAGAAGAAACCTCAACATTGACAGGCCAACATACACGAACCTCAATCGGCTCATTGGACAGATTGTATCGAGGTATGAGAGACTTGTCCTTGAACTTTTTGTGTTGACACAATTTTCACATTCTATGAAAAGTTCCTAACTTGTTTACCAGGTAGTAAAAAATGGAGTTGATGCAAGTTTGATCAGGCATCACAGATTAGAGCAGAGTACACTGATGATACGGAGTTTCTTGAAACAGCCAGTTGCTTATTTGTTTCAGTTTTAGTAATTTTTAAATTATAACAGTATCAAGATTTTACAGCTTTTAAATTTATTCAATTTTCTTTCACATAGTCCTTTTAAAACTTTGCTCATACTACGGTAATACAAATTGCAGAGAATTTGAATTTGACTATGAAAATAATGTAGCAGAAATGTTTTTATTTTTATCATATTACAGTTTGCATGATTCCTCTCATGTATCATGGTGTTACCACTTCCAGTTCATATTTCATGACCAAGGTAACTGTTCAGAGATTAATGTGTCTGATGTCAGTTGCCAAATTTGTAAAATTATATTTACACTTTTGTCATGGAAACAGTTATGGACTAATAGATGTATGTTTATTGCAGCATTACAGCATCACTACGGTTTGATGGAGCTCTCAATGTAGACCTGACTGAATTTCAAACTAACTTGGTACCGTATCCTCGCATCCATTTCCCTCTGGTATGTTAGATTTATTTGTGATAACAAATGTACTGATGTCTTTGATGATTTTGGCTTTGCATATAAGCAGTGACCTGTTGCCCATTCTGAAGTAACTTATGTCTCCTAGGCCACATATGCGCCGGTGTTGTCAGCAGAGAAGGCCGGCCACGAGCAAATGACGGTAGCAGAGATCACCAAGGCGTGCTTTGAACCACAAAATCAAATGGTACATGTGTAATTGTTATGCGTATCATTCTGTGTCACAGTTGTAGCCATGATGAGTGGCAAATAACCGTGCTGCCGTTGAGAAGACGGCCGTCTTCAGACTCACTGCCGTGAAAACCTCAAATCCTTCGTATTAATTTGTTGTATACATCTGCCAAAACTAAATTTGTTTGAGGTTGGTTACTTCTGAAAATACAGAGAACCAGTTTTTAGTCTGAAACTGCTCTGTGCTCATCCACATAAAGAATTCAGACAAACTTGAATTTAAATTACTTCACTGTGGATTGGATTCGTATGACACAGATTGAGGTCCATTGGTGAGCTTTTGTGAACATAGTATTGAACATTTGATTTGCTTAAAAGGCAGAGAAGTTTGTGACTAGCTGAGTGACTATTAGCTTATCCGGAAGGATTCTTTTCCATGCAGTTAATAATGACAAATTGAAGTAAATGTCAAACATTATCTTGATGGCATTGGTAGGTGAACTGTGATCCACGCAAGGGGAAGTACATGGCAGTGTGCATGCTGTACCGTGGTGATGTGGTACCTAAGGATGTTAATTCAGCCATCTCTATGATCAAGAAGGAGAAAACAATTCAGTTTGTTGAATGGTGCCCTACAGGTTTCAAGGCAAGCATTATTGTGTGTGCATGTCCGCAATGATTTTTGACGTTCTTATGGTGAAGATGTTGACAGGAAAGTATTTTAGTCGATGCATGAAAATAGCTTTTTTTTTAGGTTGGTATCAATTATCAGCCACCAACAGTAGTTCCTGGTGGAGACTTGGCAAAGGTAGAACGAGCAGTATGCTGCTTGTGTAATACCACAGCCATCATGGATGCTTGGATGAGAATAGACCACAAATTTGACCTGATGTTTGCTAAGAGAGCCTTTGTCCATTGGTATGTTGGAGAAGGCATGGAAGAAGGTGAGCAACGAATGATCGATCTTTTTATCTGGTTTCAGAAATGCCTTTTGATAATCTGTGCAGTTAACTGCCCTTTTAATGAATATTGAGGAACCCTAAATTTTAATTTCTTAATCTGAAATATAGCTAACTTAGTTGAATACGGACCTGTATTGCACTTCTTTATCAACTGCTTCCCATGATGCAGATGCAATATTCTCCAATGAAATTAAATTTGTAGTAAACTACTCAGCTCAGTTTTGTGTTGCAAAAATTGTGCAACAGTCATTCCATGTAACTCTGTGCAAGACCTCCAGTCTAAAGCAACGAATCTTTTTTATGAAACCATAGTTTCCAGCGTACTGCTTTCCTCTCTGTCTGACCGACATGTGCTATTTTGTTCAAACACGCCAGAACTCCCTAGTAATCAAAAATTTCAACTTCAGCACTTCCTTGATCCACAGGTGAATTTTCAGAGGCCCGTGAAGACCTTGCAGCTCTGGAGCTGGATTACCAAGAAGTTCAGGAAGATGCTGCTTCAGATGAAGAAAATGAGGAATACTGAAGTTTATGGCCCCATAGCTGCGGTATTCACTGGTGCAACATACATGTATTAGGCGATATAAATATACATTGCTCATGTCTTCTTGTCCCAGTATTATTATAAAATTTGAAATGAGCAAATTGTACACGAGAACCGTTGTTGCACACACATGTGAGTTGCAATGCATAGTGTTTTTACAGCCAGAGAAGAAAATTATCTGATTTCTGATCCGGTCCCACAACATAGATGTTGGTGGAGGTCAGTTTGTGATCTTATTAAAATAAATTTCTTTTTAATACTTATTAGCATTCAGTTGGAGTTGACTGCGTTCTTTAGTATAACTATGTGTAGGTTGTGTTTAGTTATAATTGTAGGTTGATTATTGAAGTGCAATGAGAAGCCAGTTGTCAAGTGTATTTATTTATTCATTCATTCATTCTTTGTAAGGAAAAAAAATGTCCACAAAAAGGAGAATATTTTAGTGTCACTGCTGTACTTATATTTGAATAACAGTAACCAGAGACTAAATAATTGCACCTAAGTTGATCTTAAAATGTGTGTCGTGACTGGTCTCTGCGCCCTTTCTTTTTACACATTCCGTCCATTATCACAGGTATTGTTCATTTGTATGAACTTTTATATATGTGTGCATGTGTTACCATTAGAGACAATGCATACTGTTGTATTTTGCACTTTTAACACAAGTTGTAATCTTTATTAAAACCGTCTTTCAGTCAAGTTGCTTTTCATTGTTTACCAGACTGCTTTTTCTCCACAGCATGCTTACCACTACGCTGATCTTAATGATATAACTACACTGAGTACCACTCAAGAGAAGTCCTTATATATTACATAAAAATATTTCTTCAACTGATGTGCCGGTTATGAATTAACATTTTAAAATCATGTATAAATATATGAAATAGAATCACTGTTACTGGTTACATGAGATATGACTCAGATTTGATCTCTGCCACCACATCCAGAATGATTCTAGTAGCCATCCAGCCTCCTTAAGGACAAAGGTTACCAGACTGATAACTTGCCTATGCCATAACTAGGGTCCTGTCCTGTGCAAAGACACAGACAACCCTTTAGATTTCCAATAGGCTCCATTGGCAGTGAATTACATCGTATAAAAGGTGGGGAATTTCTTGACGCCCATTGGCAGTGAATTATGTCGTATAAAAGGTGGGGAATTTCTTGACTAACTGAGAAATTGTTACTTTCTCAAGGACTTTGCTTCATGGAATGAATCAGTTTCAATAAGGATGGCTCAGGAGAGAGACAGAAAAAGTGGCCATTTTAAGATGCAGGAGGAATGTTATTGAGCATACTCTCAAAAACCAGGTGAGAAGTACAAATATTCAACGACTCTTATGCATTTATGATGTGAATGAAAGAACTTTGTAATACAAAGTTAATTGGTATGAACATATATGACTCATGGAACCAGAAAGAATTGCCCATTATATCATGGACTGCAGACCCAAAGAAACCCAAGAACATCCATCCCCTGCTCTTGTGGTCAGGTATAAATTGAAGTGGGTCATCACATCCCAACCATGATTATGGAACACATTAGGGGCACCAGACTGGAGAACCAGCAGTGATTGCTAAACACACTGCAGGAATTAAACACACCATCAGCTTCAATATAAGTCATGGACAACATCCATACCTACTGTCCCCACATCATCAGGGTAGCAACTGAAGTAACCAATCACCCCCACAACTTTTTCAACCATCAAGATGGATACATATCAGGCAAATCCTGGTTACCTGAAGCCATTTAACCCAAAAACCTCTCTCAATACATAACCACTGAACCTTTCTCCCTGACCTTGCAAATGAAAGAAAAATCTCATGCAAAATAAATCATTGCTTCTCCCCATAGCTATATATAATCAGACTAAAAAATATTATTATTGTCAGTTAATATCAGTTTATCGCAAAAACTACTAACACAGTGAATACGTATATCGATAGTTATTACGTGTAACAACCACTAGTGCTAAGACATGTTTGTAGAACTGTGACTAGTTGGTTAATAGAATGAGTATTTTGTTGCAGGATGTATTTATATATTATTTAGTTACGTTGTATATTAACAGAGATATGTTGCTGTAATGGGTAAGTTATAACAAATATTATTTTATCTCGTATTTTAACTTTTTGTCTGTATATTTTTGCGACATATACAGAGTCTGTGTTAGGTTAGGTTGGATTAGTGTACATAGTTTTTATATTGTGAACATAAGTAAAATATTAATTTCGTGAGAAATTTCGCATTGGGTGACATCGTGTGCGTGCTGGAGAGGACACTCTATTGTTCTTACCTAGTGTAATTCAAATTATGACCGTGAACTTTTGTATAGCGATACGAGGTTATAGATTGAGGTTATGTCTGTGTACAGTGGAAATTACTGTGATAATGTGGCATGTATATTTACTTTTATTGTCTTTGACGGCTATCATATTTGATATATATCATTCTTTAAACATTTGGTATGAAACTCATTCTGTGTGCTGAAAATTACAAAATGGTGAACTCAACTTTTGAACTTCCCAGTATTTCGAATTACATTGCCCAACATAGTATAGAAACGAAGATCACTAAGTACTAATACCTAAATTGAACGGACTGTAATGTTAGTTGTTAACTTTCTGAATGGTAAGAGCACAAAATATTTTTTGTGTCAGCTAATCAGACTTCACCTATCTTCGCTAAACCAAACCAGAGTGAACCAGGAAGGAGAGTTGTGAAATCAGTCACAATCTCCAGAATGTGGTATGATGGGCACTTACATTATTAACCTTAGCAGTAAGTTGAGTGCCATAAATTCTTTCCAGAAGTCGTATATGTTTGTCTTTAAAAGGGCTTGAATATTGAATATAGTGTTTGATTACATGTGGCAATGATGTCTGAACATACTACTCAAGTACTATTTATTAAATTTCAGAAGACTGTGCATTTTGATTAATTCTTTTTGAGCATCCATCAGATGATAATAGGAGTAAATAGAATCACACAGTTTACACACTGACATCTGTTAGATACCTCATGCAGTGCATACCAGGACCATATCCTCTTTTGAAAGCCTTTTCATGCATTTTATGGTTAAAAGTTGAAGATCTTGCAGTCATCTGTAATTACAAACTTGTTTAGATACTAGAGTACATTTTCTAAGCTCTTGTCCGCACTTGTTTAGAAACTAGAGTACATTTTCTAAGCTCTTGTCTTATATAAGATGTGAAGCTTTTGCGTTGACTGAATGCAATGAAGTGTTCTCAGACAATCAGCTGTGAGAATGGAGACTGTTTCTGCTTCCATCTTCAGGGTTTATGTGCTGTGACTGGCCACAAGTGGGCCATTAGGAGCAGTATTATTGTCAGGCACCAGACGTCCTGCCCTGAGCCAAGTCTGATTTCCTGAGCGCACTTTATTGCTAAATTTGTTGCGAGCCTTTGTAAATGCAAGTGATATCTTTTTTTGAATCAAACAGTAGATGGTCCAGTTTTGAATGAAGTTTTGTATAGAAATACTTTTCTGTGAAATGTAAGAAGAGCTGGGAAGTTTCAGTCCAGCGTTCATAAGTGGGTAAATAAGCAGAACGCTGCTGCCAAAGAGAGTTCATGTGCAATTCATAGTTCAGTTTTCGCTCTTTGTTTTGCGTCTTTGTCCATCTAGTACCAGAGCTCAGCACTGTGGAAATGCTGCAGATTCCATGAGTTTAGTCGTGCTTATTATATAAAGCAAATTACAGTGGGACTCTTCTGCAATGTGAAGGGCTGATATTAAGCTTCGCGTATCTGACACAACTGGGATGCATTTTCTATGTTTACTGATGTCCATACTAAATAATCTTTTATAACAGATGTCTTATGAATGCATTCACTTTTTCATAGTTTTCCAACTGAAATGTGTTTGCATTCTCGTCAATTTAATATTACGAAGAACAAATAAATTGTAAATGTCCAGCTATTGTAATGGAAATCAACACGATTGAGGTGGCTTTGTAAAACTGCGAGGAACACATCTGGGAAGCATGTGCAGTTCAATTTGAAGTCTGTTGGTGTAGAAAATTAGAAAGTACGATTTGAGGGTTGTCCAAGTTAAATTTAATCGAAATCCGTCCCGCGATTCTGGAGTTGAATCGTGCGGACAGAGAGACAGACATGTGACGCGCTGTGCAAAGAACTCGTAATCTGAAAGCTGTAGTCGATGTTATGAAGGGAGCGTCTCACTTTCTTATTTGCTGGTTTTCATCGCGTATGAACAGAAAGAGGAAGGACATTCCAAAACATGGCCTCAGTTTTGGAGGGCTCGTGTGCCTTTGTGCCTGCCGACTTCCTGGAAGTCACAGACACAGCTGTTTGTTGCGGACATGCAACCCGGCTTTGTACTGCGAGGATAGTTGGACGCAACCTTTTGTTCTAGGTCGATTAAATCTGAATTTAAGTGTTCCACGCTTCAGAGAACTTTGGTTGGGAAATCGCAAAGGAAAATTCGTTTGTTTCTAGATATATGCATTTATTAAAGCTGGGAAATGTCAAGTGAAGTGGATAGAGCTGGCTCAGGATGGCTTTCGCGAACTTAGTAATGAAGTCGGCTGTGTGACTGTCGACAGTTGAACGTCGTGTTCGATTGAGTCATTTTGATGTGCGACTTTATTTCGCAAACGATCCAGTGGCCATGTAATATTTACCTAACAGAACTTGATGAAGAAACATTCTCTCAAACGTCAGCCTTTCTTTTCTTCATTTGCGGCGCCATTTTGTACGCGCATGCGCGTCGGAGTTCGTGGCGAAAAAGAAATCTGTGGTCGTACAGTTGTTCGTGTTTTTAAAAAGCAAAAACTGAGAATCCGTTTTTCTGTGTGCGAAAACTGTGAAGACATCGAGCATTTATCATCTGCTAACAAACAGAAGTCATCTGGTGTAATGATGGGGATCCAGAAATCCATTTGGGAATTGAGACTAGCCAATTACTTTAGCTTTCGAGCTGCGTCCGTTGTGACGAAGCCAGAGGGCGAGTCGACCGAATAACAAATGAATGACCGCTTGGTTCAGTCGCGTTGTTGATTCTAATCCCTAATATATTTTAGTTTACAGACGCTCGTTGGTTGAGTGATGTAGACCAGGTTTAACGGGTAGCCTAACCTTATCTTTCTCCGTGACATAATTTAAAAAGATTTACGAGTCAGGATCGCTCTCTGCTGTGTGAACGTTGTGCCCTGCACAAAAACATTATCTATGGGGCGCCTCTCCGTTTTTGGCTTCGGCGCCAAACAAGTTGAGTTGAAAATGCGTCGCCACGTTGTATGTGGCCGAGTCGGCGTCGCTTTGTTTGTGTGACGGCGGGCGCCAAAAAAAAAGCCACCGGTCAGTGTTGTCCGTCGCGCGGCCCTCCGAGTACCACGCGTCGTGCACGCTCAGTTGCCCAGCGCAAGACCTTCGGCGCCGTTTTACACGAACGCAGATCAGAAACGCCGCGAGGGACGTGGACTGTGCCCTTCACTCATTCTTCCATCAGCCCCTAGATGGATGCGGGTGGAAGGAAAGGAGTCTGTGCCCCTGTCGGAAGCCACTGCTGTCGTCTCGCGTAACTTTTAGACCAATTAAAATTTCTCCTCCTTTTATTAAATCGTTAATCGGCGCACTACATGTTTCGGCCTATACCTACGGCCATCTTCAGGGGCTTCCTTAGTGTAATGCATGAGTGACTCAGAGCTTAA